AAAAAAAAACTTATTAAAAAAGACACAAATAATAGGTTACTGCTGGAATCCTCAAAAGATTTTTATGTTCTTTTGCCAGGCACCTGAGGTCCCAGGGCTAGAGCCAGGGCCAAAATTTGAGGTCTTTCCGTGTTGCTTAGAGTACAACCCACATCCACTTTAGAGTAAGCCATTCGAGGTCCCAATCTTCAACAAACGTTATTATGCTTGAGCGTTCTGGCCTTGGTGGGTTCTAACACTAGAAACCTGTGATTTTATCCTGCAGTTCTTCCTCTCAGCTACATTCTATGGATTGATAATGTCCCTGGAAAAAAAAAGACATCCTTTTGGGGTATGGTTTCAGGAGGTGGGAAGGGATGTAACACATCCAGTTTTGTGTTCCTAGCAAGTGCAGGATTCCAAAGCTTTAGACTTTTGCTAGGAGTCTACTGTCCAAAGAGGCTGTCTTTCAAGAGCTTTCCTGTACTGGTGAATGTCTCAGAGCAGATATGGCTCCAGTTCACGTCTTTCCAGTCCGATTCTCTCTCTGTTCTATGTCAGGTAGTTGTTAGCTCTCTTTTTGGATTGTTGCACTTGTTTGTAACTACTTTTTATATTTTAGTCTACCTTTTCTGGTTATTCTCCAATACTGGAAACAGAAAGTTAAAACAAGTTTAATTCATTTTGCTCAGATTTCAGGTGCCCTTTGAATTAGAAGATTCGCATCCTTCTTTCACTCTGGGAAAGTCTCGGCTATTGTTGCATCGACATTACTTTACATTTTGTTTTTGTCATTTCTATCATACTGTAAGTCACTCTGAGTTACTTCTTTTTCAATGACTGTTTCTTTTTTCCTAATATCCTGTTCTTATTTTAAGGGATAACTCTTTAAATCTGAGCACGGTTCTAGAAATGTTTTTCTTCTCTTCTTTAAATTAACTACTTTCCTCAGATTCTGTAAGCTCAGTTATTATGTTTCCCACCATGACTCAATGATTCTTGTTCTCTTACACCTAGCTGTCAGTTTTAGGGGCGCCTAGGTGGCTCAGTCAGTTGAGCATCTGACTTCGGCTCAGGTCATGATCTCACAGTTTGTGCGTTTGAGCCCCGCGTTGGGCTCTGTGCTGACAGCTCAGAGCATGAAGCCTATTTCAGATTCTGTGTCTCCCTCTCTCTGCCTCTCCTCCACTCACACTCTTCGTGTCTCTCTCTCTCAGAAATAAACAAACATAAAAAAAAAAAAAAAGTCTGTGTTCTGGTCACAGTTTTCCTGTCTGTAGGTGTTCTGACTGCGAGCTCCATATAGGACAACCTAAGTGCTCATCTCTGCTTCACTGTAATGTCAGAATTACCAGGGCTTCATTCCAGGTACCACATCCATACTAAAATGCTCCATTTTTAAAAATGCTTTATTACTATTACTTTGAGATACTCTTTGGTGTTTTGCTTGGGGTAAAGTTGGCTGACCATTCTCTGCCAAGGGTAAGGAAGGAGGTATTGAGGACATGGGCCCTCTTTTGCAGTACCACAACCTACCCTCTACCACATCCCATCTAGAGTTCTATTGGGCAAATGTCTCTCACCACTCAAGGAGTCCTGAAGTGGTGGCTTCCCTGCCTTTTGTACCTTTCAGATCTATTTTTTCTATTTCCCATGGGCCATGTTATTAATCACCAAATAGTACTATCTTTATATTTTTATACATAATAGTATGTGATACCAGGTAATAATTATTACGTTCGGGCACAAAAAAGTTCAAGGTCTTTGATCCTTGTAAGACCCCTAAGAAATACATCTAAACAAAGTCAAGCTTGGAGACACTAAATCAGATGCTCTAAGACACAGAGCAAGCTCTGCTTTCTTACTTTTCAAAATCAGAATCTTTTTTATTTAACCCAAAAGTTGATGTTTCTAGATACTAGTCCAAACTCCAGGAAACCCAGGAACTGTGAAGGCTCACTTATTTGACGCTAAACTAATATAATATTAGGAAATTGCCAAAGGAGTTACATATCACACTTAATAGGACATAATTCAGTAAAAAGGACACCACTGAAAAGAGGAAAAATACCAAATGTTTCATTTTTCATTATGACTAAGTGCAGTATGAGGAGCAGTGAAAGTGAAAAAATAAAACATACTTCCTTTTCCATAGGCACAGTTTTTAAATTCAACTCCTAGCTTTCAAAATGCAACCCAGATGACCTGAAGAACATTTTCCCCAACTGCATTTAGACTCTTAAATTTTCTTTGATAATTTTCAAACTATTATGCTGTTTTTATTATCGCCCTTCTCAGAATTTCATTGAATACCCTATGGTATCTAAGGAAACCCAGTTACAATAAGTCTTCCCTAAAAAGCAGGGGGGCGGGGAGGGGGAACCAACAAAGAAGAAAAAAATGCAAGCGCAAGCTTTAGTCTTTGCTTCAAATAGAAACATGATCAAAATACTCTGCAGACACAGTAATCAACATTTTTAGAGAGAAAGGCAGAGTACACGGTTATTAAAAATCTGGAATTCAGTGATTAATTCTTTTACTCAATTTAGTTTCATGAAACAGCCAATCTAGCATTCGTATTATTATTTCAGAAAGCTAGCTAAAACATTAGCAATAGTCTGAGTTGCCCATTAGCAGGGGGAATAAAAGCCTGATTATGATTTTTATGCTTCATACAGGTCATTCTAAGTTTCACTCAGGATCTCCCAGCAAAGTACAGTACATAATACCTCTTCAGTAGACATTTCACACGTCTAACCAAATGTACATGCACACCTCTTTTAAAACTTATTTTTGTAAGATACCAAAATAATGCAAATGATGAAAAATGAAAATTCTAGAATACACAGTACTTACTATACCTCAACACTGAAGGTCCTAAAAATGATCAAGGAGCTCAAAAAGAAACATGTTTGTATTTTATTATTTTCCTTTTCATTGATGACTTTTGCTTTTAATTAACAAAACAAACAAAAACAATAAACAAAAAGCAGAAGAAAAAACCTTTCAGTTTTTACAACAAAACTCACCAAAAATGTTGGTCTTCACAGTAAGTGCAAGGTGAGTATTATTCCTTAAAATTTCAACGGCCTTCGCAAATGTAATGTTCTCAAAGTTTTGTCCATTTACTTCCATTATCTTGAAGAAAAATACAAATTATGACAGAAACAATATTAGCTACTTCTGCAAACTCAGGTGTAATGGTGAAAAACATGACACCTGAACAAAATGCACCTATATGTGAACAATGTTCATCTCTACGAGAAGTGGAATTACCACTTAATTTTTTTCTCTATATCCTATTTCCCCAACTCACTACTAAAAACATTTTTTGAAAGTTCATTCCCTCTGAGATCAAAGAAAAAATTTTTAAAAAACAGGATGGTTTATATATGAAACAAAAATAAAAAAAATTTGTAATGTCTATTTATTTTTGAGAGAGACAGAGCACGAGTAGGGGAGGGACAGAGGGAGAGGGAGACACAGAGTCTGAAGCAGGCTCCAGCTCAGCACAAAGCCCGATGCAGAGCTCCAACTCACAAAGCAAAAGATCATGACCTGAGCTGAAGTCGTACACTTAACCAACTGAGCCACGCAGATGCCCCTATATATGAAGGACAATTTTAAATCAAGACACATCAGCTCATAAAAATTAGTGCTTGTGTATGTATGTGTAAATTTTACTGAAATATTCTAAATGCAAATTTATTGCTTTTAAAAGACAGAATTCATTCAAAAGTGATACTTTAAATATATCTACTATCCTTTGCTGATGCTGAATCAGGAAGTCGAAAAGCAGCAAGTACAACTGCGATGGATTCTTGCATGTGATGTGCTGACCCTTCATAGAAGGCTTCCCAAACTTGGCTGTACCTCCAAATCGTACAGAAAGCTTATTTAAAAAATACTAAATCTAACAAAAAAGGATAAAGAGATAAACATAATGAGGAAAAAAACCACAAAAAACAGATAATCAGCACAGAGGACAGATGTCAGGACTCACACAATGATTCCAACACGGTAAAAAAAAGACTGAGAAACAAAATATGAAAAGAGAAACCACAGAAGTAAAATGCGGAGTTGAAAGAAGTCTTGAGTCTACACATTGAAATGGCTCGAGTATCGTGCAAAGATAATAAAGAGATCTATTTTTTAACATATCCCAAAGAAAAATTTGAATTCCACGGACACTGAACAAAGAATCTTTAAGCACCACTGTGGAGTTGGGGGGGTTGGGGATGGGTAGGAGGACAAACAAAGGAAGCTAGAAAAGAAAAAATAAAGGTTGGTTTGGACTTCTCTTGGGCCATACTAAAATGATGTGATACTTTTCTATAACATCAATGCTCTGAGGGATAAATAACTCTGAACAAAGAATTTTATACCCCACTGAACAAAAGCATTATCAAACATGCAGGGACACAAAAAACTATAGTATTTATAGGCCCTATATAAGACAAGAACTAGAAGAGAGTCGAAAAGTACTAGAAGACACTGGTGAAATGAATCTTAATCATGGGGGCATGTGGCACAGATGAAATGGAGGTGATCAATGACATCAGTAAGGAAGGTGTAAATGTGTACATGGTTATTAGTGATAAGCCTCCGAAACTTAACGCCAATGTCAAAAGTATTCTCAAAAGATAAATAATGTTAAAAATGACTTAATAATCTAGATCTAACATTTCAGATAATTTTAACAATAACTGAGAAGACTTGAAGGAAGAGGTAAAAAGCAGATAAATTTTCTCTCAAAAATGAAATAATCTGATTTCATTGTTTTTTTCCTTCCCTGTGAAGAATGAGATGCTCAAATGAGTTTAAAATAAAATACTAGAACATTAAATACACTGATTCTGGAATTCTGGGTACTAGAAATTGTTAATGAATGGTGTGGGGTTAGGCCCAGAAATCTGTTTTTAAAAAGTTCCCTTGGTGGAAGAAGGGGATCATTAAAATTTTAAACCAGCTTCTTAACCCTTGCACTCTTGGTATTTGGGCCGGGTAAGTCTCTATTGTGCGGGTGTCCTGCTGTGGGGTGCTGGAGGCTGCTTAGCAGCATCCCTGGCCTCTAACCACTTCATGCTAAGAGTAACTTCTGGATCATGAGAATCAAAATTATCTCTAGACACGCCAAATGTCTCCTGGGGGGAGAAAATCACTCCCAGTTGAGAAGCACTGCTCTGCAGTGTGGAAGTTTTTACAATGTGAATGCATTCATAATTTAAAAAGAAAAGCACTAGTATAGTTTAGTTAAAAGTCAAATAAAGCCACACTCTAAATGAAAAAATGAACAAACAAAACTTTAAAATGGGGAAACATAACCTTCCCAAGTGATTTAGCTAAATTTGAAAAATGACTCTCTGGTGTGCATGCGGATCACCTAGAGAGAGCACTCTGTTAAAAATACAGATTCCTGGACCTCATCATGGCAGAATGTCACTAGTACAATTAGTAGAACTGAGGTAGGCTTAGGAATTGCATTTTTTAGTAACAAGGTTCTCAGGAATCACATTTTGGACTACACTGCTCTACAGTTATCAAATGCGTATACAGATATAATAAATCCCCTCCAACTTCCTCCCAGGGTCTCCTTCATTTTCGTAGTCCCTTGCCCGGCTTCCTCTACTTATGGATGTAGTTCTGTTACCAAAGGACCACTACTTAAGCTAAACCATTATTTATGGCAATCTTTGGCCACTTACCTTTTAATGTTAATTAAATTTCCTTATATTGGTCATGCTTACTTGAAGAAATATCACATGAGAAAAAAAGTAGCAGACATTTTAGTTATAAGAAGGCTTTTAATTCAAGCGGTTGTGTATTTATTTACCTGATCACCACGTTTCAGTCCCGCATCAGCAGCTTTGCTACTGGGTTCTACTCCTTCAACAAAAATACCAAATCCCTTCTCACTTCCTCCATTAAGGCTGAAATGCAGAGGGGACTCCCGGGAAGCCTTTTGCAGCACAACCTGCCTCCACTTGGCCTTTGCAGCACAGGCAATATTCAATAACCGGAGATGACCATTCATTTTCTAAAAAGCAAAAAAGGGTAGAACGTATATAAATGTATGGATTTATTCCTATAGGCTTTTAAAAATCACCTAAAATCATCAGAGTTAGAGTTACATTTAAATACAGAGTAAAACACATACGAGTCAGGGTAAATAAAACTGAAGGAGGGAAAGCTTCCACCGGAGAGCACTCTCAAGATTTCTCAATAGTTATTTTTTTTATTTTTTTATTTTTTTTTCAACGTTTATTTATTTTTGGGACAGAGAGAGACAGAGCATGAACGGGGGAGGGGCAGAGAGAGAGGGAGACACAGAATCGGAAACAGGCTCCAGGCTCTGAGCCATCAGCCCAGAGCCCGACGCGGGGCTCAAACTCATGGACCGCGAGATCGTGACCTGGCTGAAGTCGGACGCTTAACTGACTGCACCACCCAGGCGCCCCATCAATAGTTATTTTTTAAAACGTCTAGATAGTCACAGGTCAGAAGAGATTTCAAAATGATGTCCCACTTAGAAAGGGAAGACAAAAAAATTACTTCTCATGGCATGAACTTTCCTAATACATATTCTAGTGCTATCTTGCTTATCTCCTGGCTGTTGTATCAATCCAGAATCTTGCAGGACCTGAATCATCCTTCTGAATAATGTCTAACAGTCAAAGACACATTCAAGTCTCTGCCTCTTCGAGGTACATTAGTCCTGTATTATTTTAGGTCTTTTTTATGCCTGATAACATTCTAACTTTCAGGTTTTAACACCAATTTAATATTCAACTATTCTCCAATAGCATAGTATGTGTATATCTCATGTCCATAAAAAGCAGCTAAAGTTTTTTCAAGGCAGGGACCTAACCTTACACCTGTTCTTATCCTATGCAACACTTTGGAGTACAATGTAGAATTTAATAAATATCTGATGACTGAATGATTACCAAAAAAGAAATCCCACAACTGTAAGGCAATTTCTGTTTTCCATCAGCCCGCGAATATCTACACAGTGAGCACTGGAAAACCCATATGATGGTGGTGAGCTCCTATGGCCTCTTAAGTTCCCCAGCCTCTGTTCATTCTTCCCATTCTTCACAGAGCTGGAGTGCTGCTGGGAAAGCTACAGAACTAAAAGATATGGGAACAGACGAAAATCTGCTGCTCTGTCCCTTTGTTCAACTCCATCCACTTATACTCTTGAGTAAAATCAATGGTTCTTGGGCATTTGCTATGTGACAGGTTTTCCTTTCAGATGGTTACTTTCATTATAGCTCATTATAATCCTCATAACAGAAACTACGGACTACTATACATAAAACAACTGAGGCATAAAAAGGTTAAGCAACTTGTCCAAGTTCTCACATCTAACATGTGGTATAGTTTGAATGCTATTTCAGGCAATCTAACTCCTGAGCTGCATTATTAATTTACTTCCCAAAATCTCAAGGTGCCTGGAGCAGACAATTCAGTTCCAGTTCATAGTTTTATATTTGACACAGAGTAAATTAGTTATAAATAGCCACTGTCAAAGTTAACAGGACCTTGAGGGGATTATTTTAGGTGTTATATATTTAGAACAAGTGAAATCACATGCAGAAGGGAAACTCATAAAGTCTAATGTAGATCTGATATATAAAGCAGGCCTTAAAGGTTGCACAGAGTTCAAATATCAAGAGGAGAAGCAAAGACTTTAAGTTTGAGAGAATTAGTGAAGAATATAAAATAATCCTGTTGGCTAAAATCAAGGGTACCCAGAAAAAATACTGAAGATGTAGGTGAGGTACCTGAATATATAGACAAGGAATTACTTTGGTAGGAAGTACCTTAGCTTATTTACAAAGAGAGAAATATTCATCTTATTTGTGGCCTAAAAACAATCTCTGGCCATACAAAATCGCTAGAACAAAGAAATACTAGAACTAAAATTAGCCATTATAAAAGATTAGGCATAATCAAATGAGCCCCTCAATGCGGAGTGAAAAAGAAATGGCTGAGAGGGGCTATAGGAAATAGGTGTACGCTAAAATTAGTGACGCAGGTGACTATAGCAAATGAATGGACATCTTGGCCAGGGAATTCAAGGCAGAGAAAGAAGTAGCCCACATATACACTGGAGATCATAAGACTGGCTGACTGGCTGGAGACAGCAACATCATCAGCCTTAAAACGAACACAGAAGAGTCAGGAAGAAGCCTGATTTCTGTTTGGGTTAATGGCAGAGAATGAGCAGAATCTAAAATATAAATTTCGAAGTTCTTAGAGCAGACATTCAAGACACAAGAGGGAATGGAAGTGTTCTGAGGTGCTGTTATTTGAGGATCAGGGAAATCCCTAAATCCTGAAGAAAATAAATTCTTTGGAGTCTTACTGTATCTTCCAGATTTTTTTCAAATTCCTCCAGAAATCGAGTCATAGCAGGATCACCTTCAAAATCATTAAAGTGATTGTTTACCCATAATAACACAATCCGTGTTACCTGTAGAAACATGAAGGAGACAGTATAGTTATGAGAGGCATTCTTTCTGTAGAAGTATATTACAAAAGCATGTCCAAAACTGAGGGGGAACTGAGCTATATGGCTAACCCCTTCGCCCTCTATCCTGCACACAAAGGGTTCATTCTAATATGCAGGCATGGTTTGGTCTGTTTTTGCTTCCTTGGGTGCACAAGCAACATAGAGAGCCAAGACTGGACCCACAGTGAGAAAACACAAGCCTGTTTACTAAGCTATAAGAAGTACACAGGATGTATACCTCAGACAGTATCCTAAAATACAAGCTTCTAAATGGCAGGCAATCATATCAAGAGCCTTTACATAGTCAAGAACATGTTTAATCAAAATTATTAACAAACCACATCTGAAACCTACTTTGTTAGAAATACTCTGAGTCTTCAAAATTGTAAAGTGGTTTGATTACTTTGTACCACAGATTAACAGAAAAATTAATGAAGTTGAACCGAATAATGTACCTAACAATGGAAATAATTTAAGTCATTTTTTTTTTAAACTTAGGTAGGTAGGATACACACAAAAGCCACCATTTAAAGCACTGTAAGGTATACAATTCAGTGGCATTTTGTAGTTATAGGTGTGCAACTATCACCATTACCTAGTTCCAGAACATTTTTATCACCCATTAAGGAGTCAGTCACCTCACATTCTGCCCTCTCTTCTATGTGGAATATTTCATACAAACTGTGACCTTTTGTGTCTGGCTTCTTTCACTTAGCATTACATTTTCAAGATTGATCCATGTTGTGGCATGTACTACATTCCTTTTTATGGCTGAATTAATACTTCATTATGGCTATACCACATTTTGTTTATCCATCCATCAGTTAATAGACATTCGGGTTGTTTCCCCCTTTTGGCTATAGTCAGTAGTGCTATGAACGTCGGTATATAAATTTTTGTTTGCATACCTACTTTCAGTTCTTCTGAAAAAATACTAAGAGTAAATGCCAGGTTATATGCTAATTCTGTTTTACTCTTTGAAGAAATGCCAAACTGTTTTCCAGAGTAGCTATAACATTTTACATTACTATCAACAATGTCTGAGAATTTCATTTTCTCCAGTCACATCCTTGGCAGTGCTTGTTATTTCCTTTCCTTTTTGAAAAGCCATCCTAGGGGGTGTGAAGCAGGATCTCACTGTGGCTTTTTAAAGCTTTTTTTTTTTTAACGTTTATTTTTGAGAGAGAGAGAGAGAGCGCGCACACATGGAGGAGGGCAGAGAGAGGAAACACAGAATCCCCAGAAGGCTCCGCAATGTCAGCGCAGATCCCAACACACAGGGCTCAAACTCATGAAATGACAGACCATGGCCTGAGCCAAAAGTGAGTCGGACGCCTAACAGAATGAGCCACCCAGGTGCCCCTGTCTGTGGTTTTAATTTGCATTTCCTTATAACGAATGATGTTAAACATTTTTTTAAGATTCTAGTTTTTTATTTAATCTCTACCCCTAACGTGGGGATGGAACTCCTGAACCGAGATCAAGAGTTGCATGCTCCACCATATGAGTCAGCTAGGTGCTCCTTAAACATCTTTTTCATGTGTTTGCTAGCTATTTAAGTATCTGCTTTGGAAAAATCTCTATTCAAGCCCTTTATTTCTTTTTTCTTTTAAAAGATTTTTTTTTTTTACATTTATTTGTTTTTGAGAGACACAGCACAAGCAGGGGGAGGAGCAGAGAGAGAATGAGACACAGAATCTGAAGTAGGTTTCAGGATCTGAGATGTCAGCACAGAGCGTGATGCGGGACTCGAACTTAAGCACTGTGAGATCATGACCTGAGTGGAACTCGGACACTTAACCGACTGAGTCACCCAGGCTCCCCAGAGCCCTTTGTCTGTTTCTAAGTTGTGTTGTATCTTTGTTGTTGGACTATAAGGGTACTTTACACATTCTGGATACTAGACCCTTATCAGATAGAAGATTTGCAAATATATTCTCCCATTCCATGTGTTTCCTTTTAATTTACTGTTTTAATTTTGATGAAGTTCAATCTATGTTTTTTTCCTTCATTGTTTATGCTCTGAATATCATATCTAAGAAACGACTGCCAAATCCAAGGTCATGATTTTTAAGTTTTAAATGAAAAAAAGTTTTATTTTTGTAAAAATAGCACGTGATCACTGCAAAAGATTTAAACAATACATAAGGATACAAAAAAGTTTAATACAGTCAATGATTTTAAATCTCTTAAGAGTTTTATAGTGTTAGCTCTCATATTTAGGTCACTAATCTACTTTGAGTTAATTCTGTATATAATGTAAGGTAAAGGTCCAATTTCATTCTTTTACATGTAAATATCTAGTTGTCCCTCACTTATATTTTTGCTCATTCTTTATTTAGCATGCCTTTATTTCTTCAGCAACTGAAGTACCTACACATAACTCCAAAGGGCATTAGGGGGGTGGGGATGGGGGGGCAAGCCTGTAGTTCTGAACACCTTAGTTTCCTAAACAAGAGAATTCTACAGTCTAGCCACATCTAATTGTTTCATTTAAAATATAACTCAGAAAGATACACCAAGCAATTATGGCCCTTCTTTTATTTTTCTTAAAATAACTAACTTCCTACCAATTTGCTGAGGTATTGCAAGTCTTCCCATTAAATGTACAAACACTCCATGAAATAAGCTAAGATTATCTACAACAGCAAACAATGTTTAATGACAAGAAAAAAATACTCAAAGGTAGATTTAAAATAAGTCACTGCAGGGATATATTAAGGACAAAAAGATTATTTTAAAATGATAAAAGTGTAAACCCCCCAAATCAACATATTGCTATTTGGGGCTTACAATCAATCTAAGGTCACTTGAAAATAATTTACTTGGTGAATAGTCTTTCTAACTATTAATCACCTTTTAAGTGTTTTACTGATCTTCATGAACAAACATTTTGATAGAGTTCAAAACACTCTCAAGCAGCTATCATGTTTTTTGAGTTTATAGCTTTATCACAGCCTATTTCAATTTTTAACTTTTAAGGCTCATTTCCACTTTTAACATGCTGTTTTGTCACAAAACTAGGTAGAGAAATGTTGTTTAGGTTAAGCGAATCCTGTTATCAAAATAAATATTTATCAATTGCAAAAGATTTTATGAATAGAATTTAAAGGTTAAAATCACTTTTTCATATTTATAAAACCAACCTTATCCCTTAAGCTGTCAATTTTAAACCATTCCAACAGTTTGATCCCAACATCCAAAGGACTGTGAAGAAATGTTCTATAAGTTAGTAGGAAATCTTCTATATAAGTTGGGTCCACGATGGAATGCTCTTCTATTAAATGCATGATGAGACGTTCAGGTGTTGCCTAAAAATCCAAGGATACAAAAGATTATTAAATAAATCAATAGCTCAGGAAACAAAGAACTCTACTGAGTTCCCTTTGTAGAGTGACTTCCCTTTGTAGTCACTCTATTACACAAGTTCTCAAAGTAGAGTTTTACCCTTAAAACACTTAATACTGGGAGACGGTAGTCTTTATAGCTTGTAATCCACCAGCACCCAGAGGCTGGAAGACAGAAAAGGCAGAGGAATGAAAATATCCAAACGCATTTACTCAGTTATAGCTGTTTTTCCTGGCATTTTACCATAGGAGGGCTTTTGAATTTCAGTGATTTACCCCTGATGTGGTCTGGGGTAAAAAAATGACAATAATGTCATTTTTCTACAACTGGTAGAAACGGGAAGATGACTGTCTTAAGGCACCAGAGAGAAGTAGTACAAGTTAAACTTGAATTAAGAAAAAAAAGAAAAAAAAAAGCTTTCCTCCAAATTTAATTATCCTTAAATCTCTTCTGCCCAGGATATAGAAACAATACACTAATTCAAGACCGTGTGTTTCACTGTTTTAACTTCCTAGAAAAGAAGTTTCTTCTTCAATGGTTTCTCCATGCTAGTTCACCATCTTGAGAGGAAACACAAGTTCTATATATAGTTTTTACATTAATTCAGAGTTTTAACCACTTGCCTGTCTCCAAGTTTATAAAAAGGAATGTAAACATTTATCTGCTGCTCTGCTTTGAGCTTCTGAATCAATGTTAAAATTTATTACCTTTGCAGCCTTTTCCTAACTGTATACAGAGAATATAAAAATAAATCAGATGTTAAACCAAATATAGAAAATATTGTCCATAATCCCCAATTTCAATTTGTTGCATTCATCCAAACAATGTCATCGGTCAGAATAACTGTATGGTAAACATACATTCATACTAACAATGTTATCTAAGGATTTATTGAAAAAAAAAGTATGCAAATCACTTCTCTAGAACAAAGTCAAACTAAGCATCTTCATATAACCTATTTAAGGGACAAGGCAACCACAGGTCATTCCTATTCTTCGACCCTTCACAACACTCTAAGTCAAAGAGTACCAAGTTGGGTTTATCATTCGCAGGCCACTCTTGAAGTCTTTATTTTTTCTTAAAGTTTATTTCTTTATTTTGAAAGACAGCGCATGCGCGTGCACTCAAGAGGGGGAGGGGCAGAGAAAGAGAGAGGCAGAGAGAGAATCCCAAGCTGGATCCATGCTGTCAGTGCAGAGTCTGCCACAGGGCTGGATCTCATGAAGCATGAGATCATGACCTGAGCCAAAATCAAGAATCAGACACTTAACCTACTGAGCCACCCAGGCACCCCTCGATTTGAAGCCTTTAAATCTGGAGGAACTGACGAACATGTTAAAGAAAGGCCATTATTCTGACTGGCTAAAAACTGGGGCAGGATGCCTGCAGAGACTAAGATGTATATCAAGAACTGTTTTTTAAAGGTGAGCCCCCATAGGCATGCAGAGTCACATCACCGAAGTGCTCACTAGTATTCAACAAGGTGGGATTCTGGGAGACATGGTGAGCAGAGTTGGCAGGCCAAGGAAATGACTACCATGGTTACACCGGCAGGACAGAGGCTGGTTATGATAAATAAGTAAATACAAAAAACGTACAAGAGCCACTGACCGGAGAAGGTATTTACAAACATAAGAAGGGAAAGGATAAGCAAAACTGTGGTATCAAAACTGGGAGTACTGTTATGAACTTATGACTGTTACAAATAGATAGAGACACATACAATGTTACAGATGTGAATGCAATATAGTAAATACATACATATATTTCCTAGCTCTGTCTGATCAGAGGCTCTAGAAGCAATGACACCTAAGTAGCAATGAACAGAGTAGGCGCCCGTATCTTGTATTTAAAACAAACAAACAAACAAAAAAAAAACGATTTTTAAGTAATCTCTACACCCAATGCAGGCTCGAACTCACAACCCAGAGCCACATGCTTCAACTGACTGAGCCAGACAGGCACCCGAGACACGGTGGCTTTTAAAAGCTAATCTCGGGGCACCTGGGTGGCTCAATCAGTTAAGTATCTGACTCTTGATTTCAGCTCATGTCATGATCTCGCAGTTCGTGGGATCGAGCCCTGTGTCAGGCTCTACAGTGACAGCATGAAACTTGCTGCTTGGGATTCTCTCTCTCCCTCTGCTGCTCCCCTGCTTGCACTCCCTCTCTCAAAATAAATAAACTTTTAAAAAATGCTATTCTCGACTAGTAGGATCTAGAGCTCTCCAGAGAAATGGCTGATTCCAAAGCTGGAAAAGGAAAAGCACAATATGACACTGGAGCATCTTGTTTTGCAGAGAATAAAAAAGCTGTTAAAAACCAATGGGGACATATCAAAAGAATAAATACAGAGTCAGCCTTATGAAGTTCCCACCAAATCTGGGACAACCTGACCAATGGCTCAACAATGATGGTAACAGTACAACACACAAATCCATGGCAGTAGAAATGAATTAATTAATGGGGAAGAGGAGAAGGTTCATCCTTACAGAAAAAATGACAAATGTAGGAAAAAAAGGAAACAGAAGATCACCATTTTATTAAAAAAAATTTTATAACATGTTTATTTATGTGCTTAATATTTATTTATTTTTGAGAGACAGTCAGAGCAAGAGCTGGGAAGGGGGAGAGAGACAGAGGAAGACACAGAATCCAAAGCAGGCTCCAGGCTCTGAGCTGTGAGCACAGAGCCCAACGCTGGGCTCAAACCCATAAGCTGTGACATCATGACCTGAGCCAAAGTTGGACTCTTAATAACAGACTGAACCACCCAGAGCCCCAAAAGAACACCACTTTAGGCATGAGTCAATGCAAGACCGGTAAACAGAGGTTTGCAGGACATACTGACACTATTCCAGAACATCTCCCATCTAAACACTTATCAATTACAAAGAACACAGTGGTGACTTTATAGTTAGGAAACTTTGCAGACAGACATCAATATGACCAGGTGATTAATGTAAACTTCACCAAAGGTGGGACAGGTTGACATTACATGCTCCCTGACATGGTGCACAGAGAAGAATACATCATTTCTGTGGGATTCCTGCCAGAAAATTACGACTTGAGTCTGGGCATGAGGAAACACTGGAAAGATCCACACTGAGGGTGACCCTAAGGAATAAAAGGTCTGTATTCTTTAAAACTGCTGAGAATATGAACAGAGAAAGACTGTTCCTGGGGTGGAAAGAAGTGACATGACAACTAAATGCAACTGTGTTCCGGGATAAGATCCTGGATGAGGAAGGAAAGAGAGCCACTGTTGGGATAGTTGGTGAAAATCTAAACAGGGTCTGTAGGCTAAATGGTTGTACTTTATCAATTTTCATTTCTCAACTTGAAAGTTCTATGGTGTTTATGTAGGAGAGTATTCTTGCTTTTAGGAAATATACAAGAGAATATTCAGAGGGACGAGGCATCACATATGCAGACTGCTCTCAAATGGTTCAGAGAAAGACTGGTGAAAATGGAGAAAATGCAGTGAAATAAATGCTAATAGGTGGGGAATCTGAGGGAAGGAGCTCTCTATACTGTCTTTGCAACTGTTCTCTAAGTTTGTAATTATTTAAAAATAAAGAATTAAAAAACATGAGCCCCCATAAAAAGATAGCCTATGGCAATCCACCCATATGTTCATCTTTTCTACAATAGAAAGCTTAGATTTATCAGTTTAGAAAATGAAAACGCGTTCTAGAATAGCCTGACTCCTGGGGAAAAATGTACCTGACATCAGTCCTTCATAATATTAAATAATAAGCTCAAGCATTTGTAATGAATAATAACACATTTACTAATTTTGCAACCAGGACTAGCTTGGAAAGAGAAATGGTTATACGTTTTTATTTCCTCTTTCAATTACAATTTCTCTATTTTACACGTGGAGGTCTTAAAAGAGACAGGGTAGTGAAGAGGATGGGGAGGAAGGGAGGCAAGGGGCAAATGGGCAAAGGGTAGGGGAGAAAGGGAACTAGAGAAAACAATATGGGGATCAACATTCAGACTCTACAATGTACTAAGGCTTTTGATTTACCTCATTTAGCCCCAATCAAACCCTGCCATAACATTCCTGTTTTCAGATAAGAAAAATGAGTGTCAGAGAAGATAATGTCTACTTTAAAGCCATAAATAACCAGTAAGCACTCTGCATTTTCATCTACTACTTTAATTTTCTGTTTTGTTTCTAATTATTCCTGTCTTTGGTGAAATTAACTCCCCTTATCAATTGATCATAAAATAAATTTGAAAAACTGTGACTGGTATATTCTAAAATAATATCCTATCCATACTGATATTAAATGGCAATGCCATTCTTCATTATTAAAATGTGTAAAAACCAATGGAGAAGCAAAAGAACCAACACATTTGCTTAAATTAGATTCTAATGTTAATTATCTTGCACTACTGAAAAAGTGGTTCAAAGCCTTTTAAGCAAAATGAAAGCTTCTGTCAGCGACTAATATAATAAATAAAAACACCCACCTTGATTACAATGTGTCCTTTCCTGGTTCCGCTCCGATCTAGTTCACGGTGTTCATGTACCATAACAATTTCTCCCTCTTCCTCAACTTTATGGGTGTTTTTCTCCACATGATTTAAAATTCTCCAATAATCCTGCTGGGCTATGCAGACAAACTGTCCGAGAATAACATGGGGACAGTTAATGAAACTGTAGTACATAAATATATCACTATGCACCAAGGTAGAGCACAAAGGTAAGAAATCGAGTGGCATCAGTTCTTTTTTATTCAGTCCCTTTAACTCTTAATAAAAATCAAGGTGAAATAATTCATATACAACGAGACCAAAGAAGTCAAATCCATCTGAATTGTGCTCTCAAAGAAGAAGTGAACATCTACTCTCAAAACTGACACTAGGCAAAGAACACATGAAGCAGTAGTAAGTTAGAAACAAACAACTCAGAAGTTCCTATTTCTTTCCTTTATTTAAAAAAAAAAAAAGAGAAGAACAGAAAAAGGAATAAGCTGGCTAATGCCAGATATAAATTTAACAAACCAAAATTTCGAATGTTCTCTTCTAAAAATTTATGCTTTGTTCAAATCCACAAATATTTGAGTCACACACAAAATCTAGTTTCCTTTATTAACTGTGAGCTTTTGACAACTCTCAATTCTCAAGTCAACCTATTTTATTTTGAGGAAGAAAAAACAGGCTCAGCCACTTTAAATCAACAAACAAGAGTTACAAGACTCAACAGATAACCTTACCTGACAATCATCTACTTTAGTCCTAACAACTCCATGCATATACTGCTTATCCAGAGTGGGAGTAATTCCAAAACTATTTCCCATAAAGAGATTTTCAACTTTTCCATCTGGATGAGTGATTTCTACAGTGCCGTTTAAAATAACATACCATGAGTCAAGCTACAAAGAAAAAGACAGGTTTTAAGAATCTTTTAAAAAATATAGTTACAGTTAACTTTGAAAAATAATCAACATATTGAATTTATATAATTTAAAAAAGAAAAATAGAGATCTGATTACATATTACTTTATACTCTGTCAGAAAACAGTCTATGCCCATCTACACAAACTAGTAAAAGCTCATTTTAGTCTTTCTTCTTTTAGTCACCAAACGACATCAGGGGACTTTCATAATTGACTAAACACTCAGAGAAAAATTATGTAATGGTTAAAACCACAAACCTTGAAATCTAAATCCAGACCATGCCACTAACTGGGTGAGTGACTATGGGCAAGTTATTTAACCTCTCAGAATTCCAGTTTCTCTACTTCTAAAATGGGCTTAACAACAGACCTATTAGGGCCTTTCTGTTAATTAAATGAATTTATGCATACCAAGTGCTTAGTACAGTGCCTGGCACATAGCAAGCACTCAAAAGAAAAAAAAAAGTAGCTGGTAATTAATTCAGAAATTCTGATTTTCAAGGCAGAGATGACAAAACATTCAAAATTTCTCCTAATGTTAAGAAAATATTGCCTTCATTTATACAGCAACATATAATGCTCCTAGAAGACAACTCAATATGTAGTCATCAAAGAACACTTTTCTCCTTCAGTATGGCTCTTACCAGTCTAAACTTTTAAGTGTGATTTATGGGAAATCTGGATTATTAGTTCTAAAGGAGAATCAGTAGCAATAAGAAATATTTTTTTAAGTGTGTTTCGGTTATTTCAAATATAAAATTCACTCACTATGGAATTTATGGATAACATAAATTACTTGAGGACAGGGACTGTGTCAGATTTTTCCACCACAACACTTCCTGTATCTAGAACAGGACCCAACACAAACTAGGCATACACCAAAGTTTTGCTGACAAACTGTGAAAAATTAAGAGAATACAAAAATTTGTGGAAAAGAAGAGTTCTTCAAAACTCCACTGTTTACAAAGTTGCTGCTAACAGTTTAGTTTCTCTATGTTTATATTACTTTATACTGTTGAAATACTTGTCTTGTTTTTTAGGAAAATTTAATAGTATATTCATGAAAGTTTTTTTCTTGAGCATATCCTATGAGCCAGATGTTTAGAATATGGGGAGAAAGCACGTAAATGAAGCTAGAGACATAGCCTCTGCCTTCAAAGAGCTTCTATCAAATTTTACAATAACCTGAATACCACCTACATAATATTAGACCCTGTGTGAGTATAACAATTATTTAAGCATTGCTTATTATCGAATTATAGTTTAGTCATTTCTAATTTTTACTATTAGAAATATGCTGCAATGAACATCTTTTGGCATAACTCTGAGTTTTACCTTATGTACTGAGCAAAGACACTCATAATGAGTGAAATAGGATAGAACCTGTTAATTCTTCAAGGCCCGTGTTAAAAATTTCTAAACGATTTTCCAGAAATATTGTTTATATTCCTATTAGCAGGATATGACAATTTTCATCAGTTGACATGTCAGCATTAATTTTTATCAGTTTGATAAGAAAAACAGTGAAGTGATTCCTAGCAGCAGTAATACCTTTCAAGTGCTCTGCATCCTTCCTCCACCCACCCAAAGTTACCAGCCAAGCATTTCTTAACAACAACCTGCTACCACATAAATGCCTCACCTGATAGCAGCCCACCTGGAGCCGTAAGTATCAATACATTTTCCTCACCTTTTTTTTGAAGTATAACACAGAAAATGGATACAGAGAGTAATACTCAATAAATATTTTAAATAATGATATACAGATAGAATGATTAAAAACTTTTCTTAATGTCTTACAACTTAATTTGAGAAGAACAAATATGGTTCAATAAACGTTTTTTATTGAACATCTATTCTATGCTAGGTAAGTCTATGGCTGGGAAGTAAAAATTAAAACAAAGTAAAGCAAAATCAAAAGTAAAAACTTGTATCTTCACAAATCGTAACTAAGCCAAACTCAATATTCATGTAAAAAATTGTATACATTTCAAAACTCAGGATTTACAAAAGACTAAGGAAATTAAATCATTCTAAAAATTACCTCCCACACTAAAAAATAGGTAACATTTGCTAGCCTACCTCTTGCCCATCTTCCAGAATAACAGCTCCGGCCTGCTCTACCACTTCAAAAATCATTACTGAGCAGAGTTCTCTCCTTACAGACATGGTCATGTTTGCAAAAGCAGGGAGCTGGTGCATAAACTCCAGTAACTGTTCTATTAAAAAAAAAAAAAAAAAAAAAAAAAAAAAAAAAAAAAATCAATGATTTGTTTAATAGATAGATTCAAACTCACACAAAAATATAGGCAAATTGGAAGATAACCAGGATTCACAACCTCACAGAAAACCACAGATTCAAATGCAGTAATTTTCCTAGCCTGAGATGTCACTCCATGGTAGTTAAGTTAGTGATGTCCTTCAATCTAACTCATCAGTGAAAAAGTCTTTGATCTAGTTCTTATCAGGCCAGAATTAGAGAAATGTTATTAATAAATGTCAACAATTAAGTAATTAAGGATAACAAATGTGAATTCTAGTTCCAAACTGTCAAACCAACTTCAAGATAACTCTCTTTATAACCAACAAATGCTAATGAGCCAACATTCTCTGGCACAGATATGAGAGTAATAAACATAAATATAAGGGAAAAACAAACATACAGTCAGCTAAGTGATGAAACAGAAATAACTATAAAGTGGTATCTGCCCAGATAATTAGGAGTTGATTATATTTCAATTTTTAAAAAAACTTTGCAAATAGCACAGTATACAAATCTTTATCATTAAAAATGCATTTTCAGTTTCTGCCCAGACAATGTTCATAACATGAGTCTAAACTGCAAGTTAATTAACTATATTATGTCATTAGAATGGCAAGGAATATTCAAATGTAGTGATCTTTACTCACAAAGATTATGATTATTTAGTAGCAGCATCTTCTGATTTGAATTAGTAATACGACTGTTATAGAAGGGAAATCTAGGATAAAATCTTAGTTGAATCATAACAATATATAATGACACACTAAGTGAGTCTAGGAGAGGATGGTTTCAATCCATCGACCTCTGGATGATGGGCCCAGCATACTTCCAACAATATATAATGACACTAAGTGAGTCTAGGAGAGGATGGTTTCGATCCATCGACCTCTGGATGATGGGCCCAGCATGCTTCCATCCACCGCACCACTCTGTTTGCACCATAAGGACACTAAGTAATCTTTGCTCTTAAAGGTAACATTAGCATCTTTAGTATTATTTAATCTCCCAAAGTAATTAGTTCTGTAAGAAATTACAAAAGGGAAAATTCATAAACTTTTATCTACAAATAACATATAAACATTTTTCTCAAGCCAGAAGTAAAAACATGACTTTTGCTAACATTTGAAATTTAAAAAAAGCTAGACATCACTGATGTACTGTATTTGAAATATCTCATGGACATGAAGGAGGAAATTACTTTAATGCAGTCAAGCTTTTATCAACTGGAGCAGCCACAAGGTGAGGGCTACATGGCTGTGAAATCTATCACCCCAATACTCACCAGACTTGATTCAGATGATCTGGCTGGCTAGGCAGGTGTCCCCTTCCTCCCTGACTGCTCCATGGGCATCCCTCTGCAAGCAGTGTGCTCAGTGGAAGGATCAACTTCCCAGATAGGGGATAACTGACTGTTCTTTAGTCAAGGGTATACCAAAAGCTGTACTCTCCTGCTGGAAACTCCAAACAAACTCTCCAGTTGGGGCAGCTAGACTCAAAGACAGCTCTAAACCTCTTGTTATTCACAATCTTGTGCAGTCCCCTCCCATATTGTATTAGGATTGCTTTCTGTAACACTCCTGAGGCCAAATCACAATGTGGCATCTGCCTTACTCTTCCCCTTGATTACCTGCTTTGGGGGAGCCAAATGCCATGTTGTGGACCTCTCTATGGAGAGGCCCACCTGACAGGGAACTGAGGTCTTGTACTAAAAGCCATGCGAGTAGCCACCTTGGAAGTATATCCTCTAGCTCAGCCCAGTGAAGCCTCAGAGAACTGCAACCCTGCTGATATTCTGACTACAACTTCATGAGACACTGAGCCAGAACCACTCAGCTAGGCTGCTCCTGAATTCCTGACCAACAAAAATTATGAGAAAATAAATGTGTGTTCTTTTAAACCACTAAGCTCCAGGTAATTTGTTACGCCACAAGAGGTTAACTACATATGAATTAAAATATAAAATTCTTATTGTGAATAGATATATTTCTTACCAATGTCATCATCAGTTTTGTCTGCAGGTTCTTTCTCAAGACATTCTCGAACAAGATCTCGCCCCTGTAGTGGATCTGTTCGATCAATCTCTTCATCTTCCTCTTCCTCATCTTCAGAATCAACAGGTCCTTCTGGAAGACGTGTTAAATCTACATCTCCTACCTCACTTTCTGTAGCCTAAAGAAAGAAATCTTGATCACTTACTCATGTTGTAAAAATTTTGTCACAGCCTGAATTAATCACAACTACCCCTCCTAACAATATAAACAACCAGGCAATACTGTGTTCTATCAAAAACAAAATGATACTTATTTGTAAAAGGTTTCACTCTTCAAAAATATGGGCTGAATGTTACACAGTATAACATCCAGGGCTCAAATCTGAGCCAGCAAGTATAAAATGGTCAGGACACGTAAACACCACTAAATGCATTCATCACTATTTTCTAACCAACACGTGTATTTCTTTTTTTTTTTTTTAATGTTTATTTATTTTTGAGACAGAGGGAGACAGAGCATGAACGGGGGAGGGTCAGAGAGAGGGAGACACAGAATCTGAAACAGGCTCCAGGCTCTGAGCTGTCAGCACAGAGCCCGACACGGGGCTCGAATTCACGGACCGCGAGATCATGACCTGAGCCGAAGTCGGCCGCCCAACCGACCTAGCCACCCAGGAGCCCCTCAACACGTTTATTTCTTAAAAGTAAAACATTTCCTAAACCAGGAAGTGCAGGAAGGAGTTTACTAACAATCATTTCATGAGTATCTATTCATCTATGCTGGGCGTTGTAAATAAGATATTCTTTTACCACAAAGATTCAGAGTACAGTAAATAGGCAACCATGTAAATTAAGAAGTGTAAAACTGAAAAGTGCTAAAATAGACCAACTGTGAAGTACTGAACACATACTTACAATGTCCCAATACCCTTTTGGTGAACCTAACAGTATGCAAAGATGAGTTGAGATTATCCCAACCAATGTTTGAAGTAAACTTATATTTACAACCTCAACTTTGGAAATATATTTGTAAATATAATGTCTCAGATATCTGTGAAGTAACTAGCAGATTTCTAAAAGAACTAAATTTAAATGTCATTCAGAGGAAACAATGATAATGTTTTACAGAAAATAAAATTATCCTGAAATGATTATGTAATACTCCCTAAATATTATATTCACTTGATTCATATTAAAAATGAAAAAGCATGAATACTGAAGCAGTTACAGAAACAATGGGTTGAACATACAGGAATTTCATAATAATAAGCATACAACAGGTGTGAGTGAAGAGTATGGCATCTTCATTCAAATATTTAAGTGTCATCACCTATACTAAACATTTACTGTTTTGACTGCTCAGAAGAGCCCCTTTATTCTGTTAGGGACTTACTGTTCCTCTCTAATTTAACCAAGAGATTCCAGTGAAGAACACTGTTCTGCCCCTGACTATGGAAGCTAAGGCAGAAAGAACTCTTGTCTTCATTCTTATAACTGGAGCTACAGGGCAGAGCATTCTTTTGTCTCTGGTTACTGCTTGGGAAGAATGTGATAAAAGCTACATGGGAATGCCATTCTGTGATGAGAGAATGGAACCAATTGGCATGGAAAGGGGCAAGGGAATGAGAAGGAAGGACACTGAACAAGAGACAGACATGGAAAGATACAGAGCAACAAACCAATACAAACAGAACATGCATGATAGAGATAGCAAGAGCAAAGCAAGTGAAGCAAAGAGCACCTGTGACTGGAAGTGCTGGGGGTGGAGGAGGAGGAGCAAAGGCAAGCAAGCTGCAGGGAGCCACAGAACTAGATAGACAAGGCAGGGGCACACACCTGCAAGCAACCAGGTTCCCTGAGGCCAAAGCTGCCTCTGCTTTCTGGCTATGGAACTTTAGAGTTTAAGGGGAGATATTTCTGAATAAAATACCCTTGCAACCATTAGAACTTGCAAGCAAGTTCTAATTTCAAAAAATAAGATTTAAAATGTGTTTAAATGCTAACATGACTTTCAAAAACCTAATTTATTTACATGTAATGATTTTAATCCAAGAAACTAGTGTGAAAAAATACTAAAGCAGTATTTTTCATACAAGTTTATTTAATTTTTCAGACTATAGAAGCTCACCCCCAGAATAGCCTTTTTCCATTTTATCAAATTTTAAGAACAATCTACCTTTGGGTTCTTAAACCACTATCTTCATCATAATTTCAAGTTTTCATCCTATGATCTGGACTATTTCAACAGTCTCCTAACCTTTTATATTATATCTGATAAAAACATAGCTCATAGCAAAAATAAGCAAGATTCAATTCATGTATGTGGATAAGAGGCAAGGTCTATTGTCATCTGTGTAAAAAGTGAAGATACCTAAAAAGAAAATTCTTAAAAAAAATTTTTTTTAATGTTCATTTTTGAAAGAGAGAAAAGACAGCGAGCACGAGTGCAGAAGGGGTTGAGAGAGAGGGACACACAGAATCTGAAGCAGGCTCCAGGCACTGAGCTGTCAGCACAGAGCCTGACGCATGGCTCAAACTCACAGACTGTGAGATCATGACCTGAGCCAAAGACAGACGCTTACATGACTGAGCCACCCAGGCGCCCCTTAAAAAGAAAATTCTTAAGGGAGAATGGAAGTCAAGGGTACAGTTTGTGAGAAGGGTGCTTTTAAGGATATCTGCAAAGTAAAGAATATAACCTATATTTACAATTGTCTTAACTGTACTTTTTCCAAAGTAGAATAAAAAGAATGAATAATATCATTTAACAGAGATTAAACTGATAAAATGTTACAAGTATACCAGAAGGATGAGGCAAAGTAAGAATTAAAAATAAAAAAGGAAGGAAGTCAAAAACATGCTAGAATCTTACAAAAGAATTTTCTTCTTCTTACAAAAGAATCTTGTAATTTATTTTTTTTAATTATTATTATTTTTTTTAACTTTTATTTATTTTTGAGACAGAGAGACACAGAGCATGAACGGGGGAGGGGCAGAGAGAGAGGGAGACACAGAATCGGAAGCAGGCTCCAGGCTCTGAGCCATCAGCCCAGAGCCCGATGCGGGGCTCAAACTCACGGACTGCGAGATCATGACTTGAGCTGAAGTTGGACGCTTAACCGACTGAGCCACCCAGGCGCCCCAAGAATCATGTAATTTAAAAATAAGTACATAAAACAAGCTATGTAGAATCCAAGGTCTAATTCTTTGACTAAGCAAAGGGAAGTTAGGTTTTTTAAGTTAGGTCATTTTAGATAAAATGACCATCAGGAGTGGAAGTCATTGCATGATACTTCTGAGGATGCAGGCCTTGGAAGCAGTTTAATTCTCTAATAACTAGGTGAGAACTTTATATATGTATTACTCAAAATGTCCAACATATAACAAAAACTTACAAGAGAGAAGGAGGAGGAGGGAAATGTAATACATAACCAAGAGAAAAATCAATCAATATAAAGAGACCCAGGAATGAGAGAGATGGAATTAGGAGACATCAACTTCCAACATTGTAAGTAAGTTTTAAGATATAAAAGGAAATACAAATATAAGTAGGGTGAAAATGGGAAATCTAAATAAATGTAAATTCTAAGAAGAGTAAACTTGAAAAGAGGCAATAAAGGGCACCTGGTTGGCTCAGTTGGTTGAGCAGCTCAGGTTGTGGTCTCACGGTTCCCGAGTTCAAGCCCTACACTGGGCTTGCTGCTGTCTGGGCAGAACCTGCTTTGGGATCCTTCGTCTCCCTCTCTCTTTGTCCCTCCCCTGTTTGCACTCTTTCTCTCTCAAAAATAAACATTTATTTAAAAAAAGGGGGGGGCAATAAAAACTACCCCAACTGAAGCAAAGAACAGAGCCATAAAGAAAATTTACCAGAGTCCAAGAGACTAATAAAATCATTATCAAAAGTTGGTATAAAAAATGTAGGTCAACAGATATGCCAAATTTGTTAAGGCAGGGTACACAGAAAATCAGAGCCCTGGCCTTTCAACTACTTTATCCTAGAACCTGGAATACAGCAGAACCTCAAGAAGATAATGACAAGTAAGTTATGTGTAGCGGGAAAAAAGTATATTGGTAAAAGAGCTAAGAGGACAAGTTTAGGGGCGCCTGGGTGGCTTAGCTGGGTAAGCCTCTTTTGATTTCAGCTGAGGTCATGATCTCAAGGTTCCTGAGTTAGAGCCCTGCAGCAGGCTCTGTACTAACAGTGTAGAGCCTGATTGGGATTATCTCTCACTCCCTTGCACTCTCTCTGTCCCTCTCCTGCTCATGTATGCACTCTCTCTCAAAATAAATAAACATTAAAAAAAAAAAAGTTCATTAAACTTCTGTTTTTCCGTTCCTGCAGTGTAAATGTGTCTCTGTGTATATGTGTAAATAGAATTTGGTGAGGCTAACAGTCTGAGGAGATTTTCTGATGACTTTGCCTTCCCCAAATAAACCACCAGAGGATATCCTTTTCCTGTTTGCATCTAGATAAAGAATGAGGGGAACTACAGGTTGGAACGAAAAGTTATACAGACTTAACAAAAACCGCATTTTCAATTTCAGAGCCAATATTAAGCCAGAACCTTAAATTTTCAGCGCTTCTCTTTGCTGCATTCTCATTGTGAGTACTCCATTCTATCTTTTTCATGGACCACTCAGTCCTTGTTTCCTGTCTCTCTGGTTAGCGGAAGAAGCCTGTGAAATTGATCCTTCACAGTAACGCTGTCTGGAAGAGCCCATTCCATAATCTCTACAATAGGTCAGGAAGGTCAAGGAAAGACTCCTTTGCCCTAGATAATCAAGCTTTAGTCAGTAGTGATCCTCTGCATTTTCCCTGGAAACAATATTGGTTTCTACTTTCAAGTGTAATTCAACTAAAAAAAAAAAATCTAGATTACTTCCTAAGTGCCAAAATGTGCTTAACTCATCAGGGAATACACACGAAATAAACTCTGCCTCCACAAATTTTCCACTCATGACCCACAGAAAAACTGCTGTGGGGTTCCAAGATCTGAGAGACCAAGTGAAAATGTCATCTAGGTGAAGTGGCAGGTAGAAGAGCATAACCAAAACACAGGGCTAGGAAAAAACAAACATGTTCAGGGAATAACATATGTATTTTGTTGTGAACCAGAATCTAGAATGTTCAAGTGGGGAATAGTGGAACATAAAGCCAGACTTGCAGACTGTGGTTAGA